AATAATAATAATAATAATAATAATAATAATAATAATGTTTATTTTCCTTCACTTCCTCCTAAGAGGTATGAAAGAACTGATTAATGTACATTACACAATAAATTTGAAAGAATAATAAAACGGTTTTAATAATTCTTTCCTCATTGTATGGAAAGCAACACACTCAAACAGATAGTGAAATTCCACACCAATATAATTGCCTGGGCATAAGATACATATTCAATCATGAGTAGCAACATTTATATAGCGACCAGTCATAATAGGTAACCTATGATTCTGACATCTAAAATTACATAACTGTATACGGTGAGCTGGATCAAGGCACAAGGGGTATTTTGAAATGGATTACGAATATTTAATAATTCTGTAATTTGTACCCAAGCCATTTCGTGCATTTCAGAATACCAATTTTGCGTGTAAATATCCAATAACCGTAATTTCATGCTTTGTTTAAGCCATGTTCTATTCACGCGTGTCTCGCTCAGCCAAAGGTTCGACATACCAGACTTGTCAAGTATATTCTTGATTTTAGTCATGCAAGGGGATTTCCAATGCACATCTTTATCATACAAAGATTTCCTATAAATAATACTACTCCAAAATTGCAGCATTCTGTTGTCAACAAGCATAGCAAGTCGAACATTTTCCCATACTACTATATGCAGTACTGTGGCTCCGTATTCGTATTTTATCATCGCCGCCAGGGAAGTCTTTCTGTTACTGTTGCCATTTTGGTATTTGAACCATCACACCTGTACTATACCAATTACGGTAATATTACGTTGCGTGTGACATCTGGGGGCTCGTCCAGGAACAGTGAAGACATATAGAAGACAACATGGCCAGCGAGATAAAAGATATGTCGAAACAAGAGTTGATGGAATGGGCGAATGAACTGGGAATGACTGGAGAAGACAAAAGGAAATTTATTTTGGAGCAATTGAGTTCTCAGCGGGCTGACAGAGAAGCGGCGAGGGAAGAGAGAAAGGCAAAAATGGAAATAGAAGTAAAGGTGAGGAAAATGGAGATTGAAAAAAGAAAGGAAAAGTTACGGCTGGAAGAGGAAGCAGAACAGCGAGAAAAGGAAAGGGAAGCAGAGGTAAGGAAAATGGAGATTGAGGAAAAAAAGGAAAAGTTACGGCTGGAAGCGGAAGCAGGCGAAAGAGAGAAATTGCGAATGGAAGCAGAACAGCGAGAAAAGGAAAGAGAATTTGAGCAATGCCGGGGCTCCAACAGGCTGATTTTGGCGGTCAACGAAATGTGGTCAGGGATGCACAGTCACCAAAGTTGCCTGCATTTGTTGATGGTAAGGACGAACTTGATAGTTATTTATTGCGGTTTGAGAGGTTTGCAACGAATGCGAATTGGCATTGAGATGGATGGGCCACAAAATTGAGTGCGCTGTGGACTGGTAGAGCACTGGAAGTATATTCCAGGATGTCCGACACTGATGCAATTGACTATGATCGTGTGAATGTGGCACTGTTGACAAGATACGATTTCACAGAGGATGGGTACAGAAAGCGATTCCGTGAAATTAAACCTGAAACTTCCGAGAGTCCTGACCAGTTAATTGTGCGGCTCAAGAACTATTTTGCTAAATGGGTTGAGTTGTCAGGCACTGCCGCAACATGTGATGGTGTTACCGACTTGATGGTGAAGGAGCAGTTTATTGGTGCCTGTACAAAAGATCTTGCAGTTTATCTTAAAGAAAGAGCACCCAAAGATTTAGATAAGTTGGCAGTAATAGCAAAGCAGTACCTAGTGGCACATGGTCGACAGTTATTCACAAAGGACCAGGTGAGGCGTAACGATAATAAGACTGCCATTAGAAATACTGATGTGGGACAGGGTAGTAGTATACGGTGTTATGTATGTCAGGGTGTTGGTCATCGAGCAGCACAATGTCCATCCCGCGTTACTGATGTCAACCATGACAAAGATGAACAGTGCCTTCA